AGAACAGCAGTGTGTTACCCAGCTTTCCTCTGCAGCAGGGAAAAGCAGAAAGAGGCTGAAATCTCAAGAGATGCACTTGCAGGAACATTTACCATTTCTTAGTCCAGCGGGGCTGCGTAGAAGATACTGGTGAGAGTTTGATGTCTTACAAGCTCCTTCACCTGTTCTAGCATTGACACTTGGGGTCTCCCTGTCCACCTTCTGTTTTTTTGTAATACTTCATGAGTCAGGGCGTGTGCCCCTCCTGTCTTTCTTATGGGCTGTGTCCCAAGGACAGGCTGGGTTTTTTTGTTTCCTTAGTCCAATATCTACATTTGCTGCTTTCTTCTGCCACTGTAACAGGGCTTCTGTGCCTTCTTGAAGTAATATCAGGTTTGCAGAGAAAAAGATGAGGATTGGAGGAAAGTTCCCTGTCCCACTTCCCATGTCCAGATTGGAGATCTGTGGTGCTGGCTACTCTCAGGCTGTTTGCTGCAGCCAGACAAAAAGTGTTTTCTGCATCTCTGGAAATGAAAGAGGATTCTTGTCTCTGCAGATCTGCTGTTAACCACTGTGGCTTTCTTTTAGAGTGTGTGCAGCATGCAGACATGCTGCAGTGAAACCCCACACAACTTGGATGTGAGAGGTGTTGCAGAAATAAGGAGTCTGGAGTCTACTTTTGAGCAAAATGCTCAGTTGCAGTATTTTCCTTTAATTAAGCTAATTTATTGAGGTGTTAGGTGCCATTTCCCCTATTACTAGGTTAAAAGGTGAAACACAAATCCTGGGAAGATGCATACTTTTCCAGGTTTTGGGACACTTGTTAAATGAACCTGGAGAATACAAGTAAAATACAACAAAAATTTGTTAAACATGAAGGTAGCCCTTATTTAAACCAGTGTTTTGTTTCTGAACTGCTTTATTGAAAATTCCTCAGAGCATAACCTGTTTCATACTGGGAAATCCTGGGCCAGTAACTTTAGGCTACCTTACATGGATATCAGCAGCAGATCTTACTATGTGAAATACCCTGCCTTAAGCACACTTATGCCATGTGCAGCCTCTGTTATGAGATATCTCAAGACTTAGCTATTTTTTGGTTTGTTTTTCTTTTCTAGCAAAGATGAGGTTAAGACAGAAGATGTCTCCGAGGAGGGTCCAGAAGAAACAATTGAAGATGTTGATGTCGTTGGTACAGACCAGGTAATTCTGGCTGGTTTTCCTGCTCTGAGGACAGCTGTAGTTGAGGTGGGTCAATGTCAGGTCAGAGTCTCCTGGGTAGTCCTGCAGCAGCAAAGGGGGTTGCTCTTTTGTGGCCCTTTTCAGGATGAGAAAAGTGGGATGCCCTCTTCCCTTTCCAGCTGCAAATGTAATTTCCTCCTTCAGCTCAATCTACAGTTTAGAGGCAATCCTTATTGTAGCATCTAGACATCCTTAGGTCATTCATAAGTATTGACTGTCACTAGGATGCTTTAAGAGGATGATCCCCTTTCTTTTTCCCCATACTGTGAAGCTTCCTTGTTAAGAGCCATTTGCTGCAGTTGCTTCATGTTACTGACACATTGCAGAGATGGCACTGCTGTGTGGCCTGCAAGGGAATATCTGCTTCAGAAATGGTGTTTGCATTGTGCTCTTTGGATTGAAAGACTCAGAATGTGTCTGATCACTGGACAGCCCTGGGCTCTTGATGGAGTATCCCATGTTTCTTGCCCTTTTCCAATCAAGGCTGTTGGGCAGATTAAATTGTCCCCAAACAAACGGGGGATTTGAAGGGAAGCATGAGAACATTGTGGGCTTGGAGTGGCACCAGCATAGCCAGGGGCTTGTCTCATGGGCATTGATTGCCTTTGGGATTCAAGTTTGGCAGAGCTGCAGCTCTCTGCCTGGGCCTCAGCTCAGCCCTGGACTGTATCCTTGCAGCAGGGAAGGACTTTTAGCCCTTTGGGCCAGTGGAGTGCAAGGACTCAGGATGTTGTACAGCAAGTCTTGGGGAGTGACTGTACAAAGAAAGGGGTGGAGGGGAAAGAAAGGCCATAGTTTATTCTATGCTACAGCTGATTACAGTCCTTCTGCCCCCTAAAGGTTTCTGTGTCAGCCACTACAGGTGGCTGAGCAATTCCTTCAGGTTTTTCCCCCTGTTGTCTGCACTTCAGAACATAACTCAGCATTTGGCAGACAGTATTTTTGCAGTGACTCAGGCAACCCCTTGCTTTCCAGTGACTGGTTTTCTGGCATCTAACCACCACATTCAGACTTTGAATGATTTTTGTCTTTTTAAATGAGTTTTTGCTGTAAAGTTCAGCCAATGGTTTTTAACATATGGTGGGCTTTTATTTTTAAAGAGGACTAGAAGGGAAAAAAAGGGACTTCTACCTTTTCTTTGAGTTATATGCATGTTAAAATGTAGACAGTTTGGCCCATGTACTTGAAGCAGCTCCAACTGAAGATAGATAATAGAAGAATTTAACTCCATGGACAAAGATCAAAGCCATACAGAAATTGCACTACTTAGGCAGTATGGTGGCTTTTCCTGTTGTGCCTTTTCTGGGCTTTTTTGGGGTGTGGAAATGCTTCTTTCCTTTTGTGGAAGCTGTAGCTCTTTGTAAGAGCTGGCTCTATGGCTAAGCTGCTGAATGGTTAGATGCTACACTGTTACTCAGAATCCCTATGGGCTTTTACATGATCTCTTCTTCATAGGAGAGGACTGACTTAATCTCTTTTTTCTTGTGATGTAGGACAGTTAAGACACTGAGAGGACGAACAGAAGTGAAGCACACGCTATGTTTTTTCTGCAAATTGTTTAACTCATCAATATGGTGTGAGAGCATCAACTGAGGTGGCAGGAGACATGGATCAAGTTGTCTCTGTGCCCATGGGCATCCACTCAGAACCAGTGTGTAGCACTGTGGTTGATCTCTCACCATTGCTGGTTGTGGGCATTACTGAGGTGGCTGCTGCAGTTCTAGGGTTGGGCCTTCTGAGCATCTTTACTCAGCTGCATCCTGATCCTTGATGCTGCCTTGGAAAAACCTCACAGCTGCAGGATTGGAATCAGGGTATTGACAAACACTGAATCAAAGACACTGTGAACCAGGTGAGACAAGCTTGTTTGAAGCATGTGGGGGCAGTGCTCTGCTGGCCATGTTCTTTACTGTTTAAAATAACCAAATGGAGATCTGTCCATTTGGTTGGAGATCTGGTTCCTTGCACCCAGTGCAGGGGAGAAAAGAGCCTGGCCCACCTGTGAGCACTGGGACCCACTGGCTAATGGCAAGTACCATTTCCTGCCTGTAAAATGGAAAACCTGGATCATTTGTGGGAAAGTATTTCTGAATTCCGTTGCTTAGAAAGATGTGGTTAGAGATCTGTAAGCATCAGGACATGTTCCGGGAAAACTTGTCAAGGCTTCAGAGTAACAAAGACAGAAACAATGGACCAGCTGACTATTTTCCTCTGGAAGAAGTCCTTCCTACAGTGATCATGTGGTGTTTACTTGGAAAATGCCTGGAACAACAATGTAAATAGACTGTAAATATGGCCATTCAAAAATAGGTTTTTTGCATTAAGAGTTTGCCAATGATTGTCACTCAAGAGTATTTCGGTGGCAGTAGGCTGGGGGGTGGGGGCTGTCATCACTGACCCTTCTCACTGCTCCCTGGAATTGTACATTGCAGTAATCATATCAGCTTTATTTTTTATATATATATATATATATTTTGGATTGTAACTGTGTAAAATAAACTATAGAACTATTGCTATCCACTGGTACTGAATGTGTAAGTGATACTCCCACACCATGATGGAGAAAGAATGGCAGCAAATGTGTGCTGGCCTTTGCATTTGTTGTGTTATTCCACAGGCTGAGCAGGGAGTTCCCATGAAGATGGAAGTGAAAGCCATGACTGTTGCCCAGGTATTGGCTATACTGAAGTGGCCACAGTGAATCCATGATTTTCCTTGTGCATGGTGTGCAGGCTGACACAAGGGACATAGTTCTCAGGTTCCTCTACGATTCCATCAGTAACTCCCCCTGCCTGGACTGGGGTACTGATCTGTGGATGACATGTGGATCTAGGCCCAAGGACTCACCAGGTAGGCAGAATACAGCTTGACTAGGAAAACAGTTATACCTGGAACCACATCAAACATATGGATACTTTAATTTTTGTAACAGTGGCATTGGGATGGTAATTAGCCTGCAGAGGCAAGGTCCAGTAAATCCACAAGCCCCTATTTTAAGAAAAAGGACTTCTCTAAGAACAGAAGGATACATTCTACTTAGGAAAGAAGGGATTGGTTAGCATAAGTATAATAGAGACCAGGATTTAACAGGCACTTCATTAAACACAAAGTGGCAACAACAGCTACAGGCTCTGCAGAAGAGATCGACCCTGCACCACAGTGCGGTGTGACAGAGATGTGTCACTGCATGCTCGGAAAGCCTGTGGCTGTTTGCTGCCCAGTTACAAGCCCCCTTCTTGAGAAAAGTTTGAGGGTAGGAAAATGCATCTCTTGCAATGCAACAGATGCTCAGGATCATCTTCTGCAAAGCCAGTTGGTTATTCTTTCCTGAGGGAACAGAGCGTCACAGAAATACTCTGTGTATCTTTACTGTTTAAAAGCCCCAAACCATGGGCAGTTAATGAAAGGTAGCCAGCCAGCCCTGGGGAACTTTGACTTTGGTGAGTCTGTATTAAAACTGGAACAATTAATCAAAATCCTTCAAATGGTGTTAAAATTACTTGAGTTTCCCTTCAGCAGTGAGTCTCTTGATACACAGCTGGGGTGTAGGTTTGTGCAGGAGCTGGTGTGAGGAGTTGAGCACAACAGGTTTCTCCCAGCTGCTCAGCAAATACTCTTTTGGATGAAGAAAACCGTGCTAGAGGCTGATGGCTTTGCATATGCAGCTTGTTGTAATTATCCAACCAGACTGCATACCTGTGTAACCCAGCCTGTGGTGAATGGCTCTTTATTAGTAAGACATGAATTGTGTGCAGTATGTAAAAATTACAACTGTTCAATTACATGTATGAAAATCTTTATTTGAAAATACAAACATGTTTTCTAAACATTTTAAAAGATCTACACTGCAAACAAAAAAATAACTTACATCTTTTTGTACACTTTTTTCCCAACAAAACCTGTTTAACAGTTAAGAGTGAGGCAACAATTTCAAGCTGCTGTGACACTGATGAATATCCATGGAATGTGTCAATAGCAAACAAGCAAAGGGGAGGACAGACAAAAGCACTGAATGCCCACAACAAATTAGTGCACATCACTGATCAAGTAACATGTATACAAAGGATTTAAAAAAAAAAAATTGGTTCCTTCTGCATTAATTAACACACTCATTTTGGATCAAGGATGAACACTCAGACTTCACTGTTAAATAATCTTGTTATGATTAACATCAACAAAAAGACTGAAGTTTAAAAGGGCAAAATTAAAGTTGGGGCAAACAAGGACTACACAGAAAAGAAAAACAACTTGTCTTGGGTGTTCACTTTAGTGTATTCTACTAATATGCACAGCTTGTCAGACAAAACTCTGCTTGTAAATGAGTGCTGAACTGTGCACTCATTGTCACATCTCTTCCTTGCCAAGGCATCAAACCTAAAAGAGGGCGGTCTATGAGCATGAGCACACTGCAGGTGTAAATTGTCTCCTTACCTCCCATACCAGGACAGAAACACCTGTTCACAGGTGAGATGGAGATGGTCAGTGCACCACACATCAGCTTCAAGAGAATTATACAGTTCTCTTAAAAACAGTAGATTACTTTTCTCTTAAATCAAATATTGTTATTCTTCCAAAAAGGAATTATGCAACATCTGAAAATAAATATTTTAATCTATTTTACAAACGATAAACTATTGAATAAATACAAAAATTTCATCATTCCATATAAATGCACTTCTTTTACTTAAAAGGTAGTGTGTGATTAGATATTTTTAGCATAAAACTAAGCTGACTTCCTGGAAAGAAACCCCACTGAAACGTATCAGTGTGTAGCAGACCTGCTGCAGACTGTCCCTTCTGTTCTGCAAGTGCTGACCGTAAGTAACCTCTATTCAAAATCCTCATCATAGTCATATTCATCCAAGTCTACATCAGCCAGATGGGAAGGCATTTCAAAAAATGGTCTTTTCTCCATCTGATACTTTAGAACACTGGCCTTCTGATGATCTACAGGATTCAGTTCTGCTTCATACCTAGAAGCAGACGAAAAAAAAAAAAAGAAAATGAAAGAGTCTATGCCAGGAAGTGCCTAAATATTAGAACACTAACAAGGCAGCTGCAGGAAGAACATACTTCCCAATATTTTATAATAAAGAAACATAACCAGAACAGCACCAGGGTTCTGTAAGAATTCCCTGAATTTAAGTTAGCTTACTCTCCTATCACATGCTGAACTTTCCAGTGTGAAATGCAGCTCTACTGAAAGGATTCAAAGCAGACACTGACACACTGCTCCAGTGGAGTACTTATAGGTTAGAAATGGTGAAATGCAAGGCTTTAGGTACTTGCCAGAAACCTCCCAAGTTCTTTCCAAGAAAGCTGTAGTGAGGCTCAGTTAGGAAGAACAAAATACAGCTGCACTAGGTACAATAAAAGAGAAGGAATAGTGGACTGAGGCTCTTACTGACATGTGCATGAGCACCAGGAACTGAGAGGAACCGTGCTTTTAAGCAGATGCTGGAAAGCAAAACCCAGCTGTTAACCCAGAAATTATTGATAACCACCTGCTGCTGATGCAGATAAATAGGAGGATAATGAAATGTATGTTTAACTAACTCAAGCCAGTGAAGGCTGATATTTTAAAAAGGTTAGCTTCAACACTTTAGGTGGGATCAATCAGTAATTCATAGCTTTTAAAAAACCCACAAAGTCTCTGTGGAGATTTATGATAGCAGATTAAAAACCTGACCATTTCCTGGGTTAGGGTGACTCATGTTCATGTATGTCTTTCCAACCACTACTGAATTTCATAATATATTTTTTTTCCATCTACTTAACAGGACTGTGCAGAGAATGAGCTTTAGATACTGCATTTTTGTTCTTTAAAACTGCTTTATAAAGGAATTAAGTGCTCATCAGCTCTTCTTTCAGAGAAAGACATAGGGCAAAATAGAGTTAAATACTAAGACTCCACTATGCACACTAAAATAGAGCAGCACCTTGGGTTTCTCCCATGAGTTCACCACCGCTTTAAACAGAAAACAAAAGTCATCTGAAGGTTCAATTCACCAAGTTACACATTTAAAAACGGGCTTGTAAAAAGAGATGCATATTCCAGAATAAGAGTTTTTGCTCACATGTGTACTTGGTAGTCTCACACATCATTAATTACATATTTTTGAGAAGGATGTGTTTATTCTTTTTTAAATGAATGATAGTGGTGGTGAGGCTATACTTTAGTAGAGAGGATTCATTTCACTGTGCTGCTGCATTCTTACCCGTCATTCCACTGCTCACTTGCTGCCTCTTCTGCTACCAAGATACCATACTCTTCAGCAGCATATTTCTCCCAGTCAGAGACCTCTTGACTATCACCTTCACCATCCTAAACAATCATGTTACATGTTAGACAAAACAGTATTAATTAATGAATTTAAACAGTATTAATTGCTAAACACATAGCTATAAAGCCTTTTAAAGCCTCATACTCACCCGCAACATAGAAAACTGATCCTTCTGTTCATGGTCAAGGTATTTTTCAATGTTGAAAAAAGTATCAAAGAACACATTTGTCAACTTACATCGCTTTAAATCATGCAGAGTAATTTTTCCTGTAAAGAAGATGATGATCTAAGATTATTAGAGATAAAATTATTAGAGTTGAAGTTAGCCTTTTGGGAAAGTGGAGGAATCAAAAGGTACTCTATCAATCATTACTCAGTCATCACTGCTTAGCAACATTTGTCACTGATCCTCCATGCAATGGGAGAGGTGCAAACAGATGAAATACACACCTAGAGATGTGTCCTTCAAAGTGTACAAAACTTGAAATGGTTCAGATTTTTTTTTTCCTTGCTATGGTTGTCATATCCCATAGCCTGTCAGTATATTGAAGTGAGATGCAGTCTACGTCCCTCAGCCATTAAAAATCATTTAAGGTATTTGTTTAAGCTTCCTCAACAGATAGAAGTCTCTAGTGAGTTAGCCATTCCTTCCCAAGGAGTGCTTGGGTAGCAGGTAGGAATCTCCTATGGCAGCAGCCCTCTCTCTTCCCTGACTTGAGCAGACAAATGTATGACAGAGATGACAGTGTGTGACTATGCTTCATACAGATTAATTTTTCATAGAGTCAAGGTTGCCACACTTGTCCAGTCTGATCAATATTTACTGCTTGAGAGGAAAGATAAATGCTCAGAGGTGTTTTGTTTGATTTTTATAGTGATACTTTAAAGACTCAAATCAATGGATGCATTAAGCATTAGAAGTATTTGTCAGGTTGCTCAGAAATGTTACCCTATTTCAAAGCTGAATATTGAAGCTTCTGCAGAAAGGCTAAAAAATATGAGATACACAAGGGAAGACAGATGACTATCCTTACAACTCCACTTTATTGATTCACCTGGAATACAGACAATCTTCCATTGTTAATCAAATAGGAGCTAACTGAAGATGTTATAGAAGAGTTCAATAAAAATGAGACTTGGAACAATATTTCCTCAGCATACTGTCCCAGCCTCTAACAAAGTGTAACTCAAGGACATCACAGGGAAGCAGAATCCAAATCCCATTTGTACATGGTTGCCATGCTTGCATCTGTCATGAAGGGCCCCAGTGTGTTTGCCTGGCTCATTGCTGGTGCTCCAGAAGGACACGAATCCCCTGTGGCACCTGTGCTGTATCTGTCAGACCCACACAGATGTCTGATGCACTGCGCCATTCCAAGTGGCAGCAGCTCTCCACAGGCAAGCAAATTATTTGAATCCTAGTTACATAAGCTCCCAGTTTAAGTTAGACTCCTATATTTGGGTCATTGATTTGCTCTCCAGTTTCCATTTATTGCAATGGGAGCTTAGACACGTAACACTCATGTAGATGCCTACCACTGACTCGCAAACACCAACAAAACAGGAGTAAAATTTAAGTAATTAATTCAGGTCTCCAGAAATTAAAGTTTGCTTTTTAGCAAACAAAGCATTCAATAGAAACTGTATCACAGTTTAGTCATAACTTCATGAAAGTGTCTTCTTTTGTTTTAAAGCTACAAAGTGAAGCATCAGTTTACGCTGCTAGTTTTTTGTACTAGAAAAACAGATTTTTTCTTAATACACCTTTCAAACATAATTAAGTTTTTACTAAAAAAAAAAATAAAAAAATCAACCCTTCTCAACTGGCCTTCATTATTGTTATCCTGAATAGCTCACCTTGGTTGTGTTTGATAGCATTCTTTTATCATCCTCATAACACAGATGAGATATATCAATCTTGTTTCATTGTAAATGCAGAACAGAAATATTATTATAAATGCCTTTCAGAAGCATAACATAGGACTGGAAGGGAACTGCTGAGCTCAGGAGGTGATTGTGAGCAACCATAAAACATAAATGTGCTTCTAGAGCTTGACTCACTTCATTATAAATGCCCCCTAGCCCCTATGCATTACACAATGTTGGCATAAGACTTCATTCCACTGATACCAGGGATGGAACTTTCAGATGAATCACACTTAATATTCTTTCTTCATTTACAATTTTTATCTGCCTTTAGAGATGTGTTTTCACTAAGAAAATCCATTTTAACTTGCTTAAATAAGAATATTAAGCTTTATGTTCTAGACTTGAGCTATTTCAATTCTCTTAGCATGCAAAAAACCCCATCTCAATAAATTACAAGTGTCTTAAAAAAAATTAAGTTTCTTGTAATTTAAATATTCTTAACACTAGAAAGAAGGTGGGCAATAAACACAACTTACTAATTGGTTGTCTAACCATAATTGTATTTTTAAGTTTTCAGGTGTAAAAGATAAACTGAAGTTTTATCAGCTGATGATACAATGTCAAATGCAGGAGAGTAGAATGCAGGTCTAGGAAAGTTCAAATGTAAAAAATAGCCAAAAACTCAGAACAGTTTATTATTATGTTAATTTTAAGCCCCTTGTAATGAATTTCCTAAGGGCAGCTTAGGCTTCTAATGTAACCTAAGTCTCTACTGGTCTAAGAGACTGTTTAGAAACTGTTTCCTCCAGAGAAACTCAATTAAATGAGCACTGGAAGAGGTGAGAAATGAGTAAACCATCAGGAGGTTTTCCTGAGAGCCTCACCTCAGCTAGATAGTGACATGGTTTTACTTGAGACTAAATGTAGCTAGAATCACAAAATGAAAGCTGACAGGGAATTTTAAAGCAGCATATTAAATTTTAGTATGGAAAGAATGCTTGCCTGCTATTGGATGACCAATCAATTATTAAGCTTTAACAGATGTCAAGGCATTGTCAAGGCATTTTATTTGTATGACCAACTGAGTGCTCTTAAGACTGCACTAACTCCTAAATCTAGAGAAACAGAAGTTAATGATGGAAAAGGAGTTTGTTACCTTCATGTTGTGGCTTTACAAGATCCAGCATCTGGCACAAACAGTCTTCAAATGGCAAAGGTTCTATGGCCATGTTCTCTAATTTTTGGCACTGTTCTTCATAAAAATATTCCAATTCATACATAGACAAAGCACCATCCCCATCAAGATCCATGCAGCGGAACCAGTATTCAATGCTGAAATTCAGTCATTAACAGCAAAGAGACAAAGTTACTACAGAATTTCAAGGATTCATGTTGCCTCTTTCAAAGGCAAAACTAGACTTAAGAGTACATTCCACTAATCCATGGAAAGTCATTAACCACCTACTGTGGTAAGAGTTGCTGGTATTTGCTACACCATCCATTACTGCATTTGAAAACACGTTTGTTAATGGTGTGAAGGAGAAGACCAAAACACATGGTTTTTGCATTAAAAAAAAAAATCAAAGGAGACAATGAAAAATTGCATTGTACGTAGCTTCAGTGTTTTGGGTATGTTTAGATATTGAACAAGCTAGTGACACATCACATAATGGGTTCCTTATCAGTACCATGCTAGCAAACAGGAGCTGCACAGCTTCCCAAAGTCACTGGCATCATGAAACAGCTACAACATCCTTAACGGATATAAACAGGCCACAACTTGTGAAACAGTAACATTGAATTAGCCTCTTAAAAGTCATTAAATGAGACCTCTACAGCTACAACAACAGGAGACACTGATAAACAAGGATGATGCAAAGAACTGAGCCAGTTTTCTATTCATGTTTTTATAGTTTAGCTTCTTCCATTAGAGTTGCAGCTGTTCATCAGTGGTCTCCATTTAAGGACTGGAAAAACCAGGACAGACTTTATTTCTGCTGAAACAAATTCATTCTTACCTAGTTGGTGTTTTTTTGTCCTCTTCAGATATCAAAAACCAGACAAAATCAGCGTAGCTAATCTTCCCATCTTTTTGTGCTTTTCTACCTCTTGGAGGCCAATGAAGAAAAAGACAGAAAATTTATTTTAGAACACCTAGCTTTACTAACCAAAATTAAGGATTATTTTCCTTGTTAGTATTAACTATTTACTCCTAAATGATCCAGTATTCATAAGGTTATTGTTAATAGAAGAGCCATCTCAAATAATTTTTGATGATATATTATATACAAGTACTTATTCTTTTTAGAATTTCTCTTCAGGTAGAAGTGATGAGAACATAAAAGCTTTACAGAACTCCACTAACTAAAGTTTTTGAATTAAAATATGAAGATAAAAATGAAATAGAAATATTCAGGAAGTAAGTGTTCATGGCAAGAACATAATTGTCTGTTTCTACTCCTGTAACTGCAGCAACCAAATAAGTTGCACATAGTCAACCTGTCTAGTAAAAAGTTAAGCAGGCAGTTCTTAGACGTATTACATTTCAATAATGAAATTAATTTTTAGATGTTTTATCTTCAAGATGTCTGGGACACTATGGTATATGTTTTTGCCTTGCCCAAGAAACTCAGATAAAGCAGTAAGCTCTAGACATATTCCTGCTAAGTCTCTTATTTCTGCTTTTATTTCTGTTTATCAGTTGCTTTCTATCTCAGATACTGTGCTAGGAAACATTTCAAAAATTAATAAAATGCCATAAATACAAAAGAGGAAGTCAATCCCAAGGGGAGAAACGAAGAATGACTGTCAAAAATGTGAACTAACTCAACTGGAGGCATTTTTGTAAAATTATTGATGCAATAAGCATTGATTTTACAATTAGTACTTAAAAGCTCAGTTCTCCTTGAACATTTTACAGGTTTGAGGGATGGAAAAAGAATGATGCTAACATGTCTTCCTTCTTCATTCCCAGTCCTGCTAAATCATTCAATATCCAGTGGCCCGTATTCATATGGGTAAAGAGAGTGAAGAACTTGACTGTGCCAAAGGTTCCAAGACCACTCTAGTGCTACTAGAATTTAAACTACAAATCTAATCTTGAAATTCCTGCTCCTTTGTGAGGGGGAGCCATTTTTTTCCCTTGGAATACCACAGAATTTAACAAGCAAAAATGAAACGGGATTTAGATCAGCATACAAAATAAGTACCTTGTTACTGCTCCTGAGAAGATGCGCTCTATCATCCTATTTGAAATTGCTGTGAAGAAAGGTTTGAAACAGTGTCAACTCTATGCAAGTTATTTTTGCATGTATTGTGTTGTTGAAGAGTTTACTGGAACTCTCCTCTTATATACACAGATCAGTGAGAAAGATCAAGTGTAGTGCTCATTAATCCCTTTAAGTCCTTTTAGAGAGGATCACTTAACACAAAGCCTCCAAGGCAAAACTACAACCACCCAGCTTTGAATTCAAACTTAATACCGAAATAGTGATAAACTTGCAATACAAGCAATAAAATTGGCTGATTAATAAAACTGCATTTCCCAGTTCTTTGACAAGTAAATAATGTTTTTCAGTGGCATTAAGTTTTACATGACCTTGGCAAAGAGCCAAAGCAGAACTGGCACGATCACACATAATAAACATACCTTTCTGATTCTGACGGGGGTCTATTTTTGACATGGTTTTGACCCATGCTTCTATTTTGAAACCATTTCAGGGATTTTAGAGACATGTCTGAACTAAGCACTATCTTTGTAAAGGATATTCAATTTATCCTTAAGAATCTGCAAAATTAAATTGCAGGTGGCACTGTATTAGTTGTGCTTTCTTTATAAAATGTACTAACATAATAGAGCAGCCACTCAAATGAAAGCAGTTTTCCTTTCTCACTGTCCTAAAGCATAGTAAAACTTTGGTAGGCAAATTTTCAGAAGCAATCAGAATTGTGTTTATCCTTTTTAACATGGGGTAATACTCCATAATCACTTTGTGCTTAGGTAAGCTTTCCTGTCCTGAAAGGAACACTATTAAGATGGACACAAGGCATCTAAAAAGAGCCCCAACAGTTCCATACAAGCTACAAGAATATTTAAAATAGGAACAAGCGTGCAAGACTACAGAATCACCGTCATTGCATATTATACATGTAGCAAATGTAACCTGCTAACTGGTGCTTAACAGTATTAAAGCAAAACACACTGCAGCTGAGTTAGCAAAACTCCAAATAAGCTAAGTACCTGAAGGTATGTTTGCCTTTTCTACTCTATATCTTGCCATAAAAGTAACGCTACTTGAATAATATCAGTAAAACGGATTTTGTCCAAGGTAACAACCCAAATTGCCAAATAAACCCATTTATATATGGGTTGATATTTGTGATATTTGCCCTACTTTTTTGTCAAGATCGGAATTCAAATTCAGAATTTTCCTCAAATGTGGTATTTGTAGATGCAAGTAGCATCACAGATGACTTGTCCTGCTTTAATTCACTGAGTCAGCAGGACCAGCCACACCAACAGACTCAAACTGGCCTTGGCATTAAACCACTTCCTCAGCTCAAAGTTTACAGGTCATTTAATACATGTAAACAAAGGTGCTTTGTTTGTCATACCATAATCATTATGTCGAGCTAAATCCTTCCGATCAATATAGAGGTCATGGTCTGTGTCCAGCTCCCAAAATTTGCAATAGATAACATAAAAATGTTCATATGAGAAGTACTCTGTCAGCTGGTTAATATCAGCTTCCTCTTCCAATAATGCCACATTCTATTATCAGAAGGACAAACAGAACATATTAAAGAGTTTGTAAGACATTTATTTGTTGAATGATCTGAGTTCTCTGAGTTCTCATAGCCAAGTTAATATCTCATGCCATTTCAGTGGAACAATTTTTGTTTTCAGGGACAATGCACACCATACCGTGTAACAGCAAAACTGAACACACAGCAGAAAATGAATGCACTGACAAAAGAATGAGCAGATTGGACCAACTTCTGCTACACACATTTACATGTATACAGCTTTAGATAGAAAAAGTTACATTTAAACATATTCTAATGTATGAGAATTAATGCAATTGGGTCTTCATTACTTTTTGGAAAAGGAGGAAATGCTATTTATGTTACTCCCTTAAGCCTTTAGTTAATGCAGTTTTAAAACTTCTAGAAATATCTCTCTTGCAAAATTTTAGATGTTATGTACCTGCAAAAAGTTGCTTTTCCTGAGCTCATTACAAGTTATTTTCCCAGACCAGGACCTATTTACTGTATAAAATATTCTCTGTATGACCTGCAAGAGAAAGAAAAAATGGAAAGAAACTTTAGCTATGGTAATTAAAAACCCATCCAATTATATCTCAAAGATGTTTTAGTACAGCTGCATTAGAGAGCTCCATCATTCCCCTATTTCTATTCCCATTAGTTAGAGCTTCTCTTGTGTCATTATCCACTATTCAAACCATTTCTAAATCTATATCTAAACTCATCTAGACAAGTTTTATTACAATGCTGCAGTACCTATATCTCATGCAGTAATGTTGCAGAATATTCATGTGCTATCCAAAGTATGCATATTGGCGATTTCACTACCTCAAATCTTCCAGATCTACAGGATATAATTTAATGAACCTATTAATGTATCTTATTACTTCAGATTTGAAGACCTGCATTTGCTACAAGACTGTTTTACTTCATAATTGAATTTACAGAAATAGAATTGGGACTGTTTAAGGATCAGATGTTGCTACTTCTGAACTCTACAAACACAACAAATCTACATCTGACAGAAATACTTTCTGCAGGTGCAAAGAGAATGGTTTTACCCATTTAACTTCATTCAGGGAACTTCCAAATAACCCATTTGGAAGTTCCCTGAAAAAAACCCCTGTTAATAGCATTAAAAGTAGTACATTAATATTTTCCAAGTGAAGAACAAAAAATCTATGCTAGAAAGACTACTAGTTCTGGTTCCACTGATAGTGGAACCAGAAACAAACACATCCATATGAGTACTCAACACATTTTTTAAAATACCTTTTACATCTACTTCAACTCAATGATCTTATAGGTCTTTTCCAAACTAATGGTTCTATGGCTATTTTGGGCAACTCATGCAATTGCTATAATTTTCTTAGATTTAGTTTACAAACTAAATACTTGAAATAAGACTTCAAAATATCTTTTTTTTTTCTGCTACTTAACTGCATTCAGTATTCACCTCAATTTGTTTGACTTAAGACAACTAGGTGTACATTTCAACTCAGGCATTCACCACTAAACGAAACAAAAAACAAACCAAAAACATCCCAAGCATATTATGAACTATAACTGCTCAACTGGTGATTGATTATACCTGCTAATTGGCAAGACTCAGTATTGCACGTGTAGTGTTTCATTTGCAAGAGAGCAGTTACTAACTAAAATCCCCTCGCCTTAGGAACCCGTTTCCCACAATTAAAATGTCCTCCCATCTACAGGCTAAGCTTTTTATCACTTCAGACTTCAATTGCAGTAAATCAATAGTTTAAACTAACCAATCATTTTAAAATTACAAATAATTGAATAATGTACTGATGAAGTTTTAAAGAAAACTTAAAACTGTAGAGCAGCAAGCTCCTCAGTTCTTTCTTTGAACAAGAACAGCTGGTTCAATGACTCCAGACAGAAGAATAGATTATCCTGCTTCTGAAACTTAATTAACTTAATTCTAATTGTGAATTTAGGGAAGGCCCATTTTTTGGCTTACACTACAAAGCAATTTTTTCTGAAAAGGTTTTTGCCTTAGCTTTGCAACTTAATCCATCTGCATGTCATTATCTCATCTGTTATACATTTAACTGGTCTAAAAATAAAAACAAAATTGAATCTTTGGTAAAGACAACTGGGAACAGACTTAAACTGTTTTCTAAAGTAAACTGATGCAGAGTATAAGAAATTGTCAGAGAATTGCCTTTACTATTCTGCCGAGTGCTTTGTCAGAAGGGAGAAGAAATGGTGCAATACAGAGACTACAATTTCAAGAACTCATAGTTCAGATATGCACCTAACTGGAAGAATAAATGTAGTATCTCATTTGTCACAGCAAACATTTTTAGCTTATTTCAGCTCTATCCTGGCCATATGTAACTAGACTGACCAACAAACCTATAACATATCTTAGCAGGCAGAACAGATTGCTTTCATGGCTTACACAACACATGCTAAAGAGATATATGTAATGTGTATGCATACACACATACATATATGTAGGTATAGACAAAAGCCCAGCAGAAGAATGGCTCATTTGGTTTGCAGCTGGACTTATCCTTTAGATAAAGCTCCATGTAGCAAGGTTAAGCTAACTGAATACAGGTATGAAATGGCTTCTTTCATCATAGGTAAAAGAAGCTATTATTATCATTAATACGTTACAGGACACAATTTTGGAAGACTGTAACAAGCTCAGTTGGTCAAAGCATGGTCAAATAATGTCCAGGTTGTGGGTTTGACCTCTGTATGGATCATTCACTTAAGAGTTAGACTTGATTCTTATGGGTCCCTCCCAACTCAGAATATTCTGTGATTCTGTGAACAGTCACGCCATCCTAAAATATGACAAGAAAAAGGCAGATGGCTCCTGCCATTTCTTAATCTGCAGCATGGCATTCCAAATATTTTTGATACTTTCATACTAGTTTACTTTTTGATTTAACACCAATTTTTTGATTAAACACAAATTTATGTTGAAGGCTACACTAAATTTTGTTAATAAAATATTTCCAGTACTAATTTATTGAATTTTGCTAGATTCAGACCTACTCTAATAAGCTGTTCCTCCACAGAAAAGTAACTGGACATGGCAGGACCTTTTCTTTCCTACTCTTCTTCAGGTCACGCAGCAAGCTTTCACAATTTTAACCAGAGCAGGCTGTGACACAACCAAGAATCCATTAAGAAACAAAACATGGAACAATTCCTTCCCTCACAACTGACAAGAAAGTTCTGTGAGCTCAGGTAGCCATTATAACAAGAAGCAAAACCTAATGCAGCAGGACATACTTGACAGGCCAGCAAGTTTCTGTAAGAAGGATGTAATGAACAAAACCCAAACGCTCTCAAAAAACAAAACCTTCCACAATTTTAACCTGGGTCAAAGTATAAGATGGATATAAGATGATCAATGATGCATGGGTTTTTTTTGTTGGAGAATATTCATTAAGCTAGTTTTCACATGCACAAAGTGAACTAAATGTCATTTTGAAGAATCTTAATCTTTTGAGACTTCAGTGGAATCGACTGTCTAGTCTACATTGAGAAAATTTAATGTCACTGATTTTTCCCTTGAGTACAGAACAAATACTTCAGTCATATAACCCTGGGAAGACAGGAATGAAACTTTTCATGTACAAAAACCTTCTTTGGAAGAAAAGTCCCCAGAGAGACAAGTGGCAAGCAGCTTCAATATTACCATTATTTCACATAATACTGAACATAATCATATTAATATAGATGTTTCATTCAAGACTTCATTTAATTAATCCCAGACTAAGGTCAGGATTCTAATGAATGCAGTCTACAGCCACAATCAAGTGTTTAAGATAACAGCCTGCTCTTCATTTAATACTCATTAACTCATCTGACACTACTGCAATTCACTGCTTCTCTTACTAGTATTAAATTCAGCAATTCCTTAAAAATGTTAAGAACCACCAGGCCTAAGAAAGACTTTTTCCACAAAATTTCTAGTTATGTAGAAATGAAGACTGACAGCCTGCTCTAACTCTACTCTTCCCATGGGACAAAGATGCTTAGACATTTGACTAATCTTAAGTTTGATTTTCTTAGTTAACCAAAAAATAGCTTTTCCAGATACAAATCACTTACTGTTGTAATATACCGAGAATGGAATTCAGATGCTTCTTTTAAGAATGAAAGGCCTGGATGACTATTCACCACATCCTACAAAAAAAAAATTAAAAAAATGGAATAACAACATTCCAAAGATTATTCATTAGTGACCATATAAGACAATTAGCAAAGAAGAGCACACCTGCTTTCTTAACAAAAACAATTTAAATTAATTATCACAATCATTACTGATAACTTCATTTTCACCAAAGCTTCAGACAAATCACATTACAAACCTTATAAAAATAATATTATCTTTTAAATAAATCAGATAAACAAAAGCTTTCCTGTATTTTAGAATTAAGATTTTTAATAGGATTTTTTCCTATATTTTAGATAGGCTGAGGATTTTTAACACTGCTGATTGTTGCTGGTTGTAATTCTTTGGCTATGATTCAGTAAAGTCAATTCAGGTTTTATTCAGTCATTTCTGTAGATGGTGTTTGCTGCTCTTCCAACAAAGACTTACTAGGTTTTGAATTCATATCCCAATTTTCCTTTGCCGTCCAAAGGGCTACCCTGACTTAAATAACTTTAACTGCCTTATGAAACATAAAAGATTCCAATACATATGTTATTCCTACAGCTGATTTTAAATCTTACCATGGTGCTTAAAAAACACCTCACCTTATACAAAATTATTAACTGTAAAACAAGTCACTAGCATCTTAGTGGATCATGCAAAGTCAGTTGCACTAAATATTATCAATAAACTTTAATGATAACCATAAAAAAGTATATTTAGTTCAAACAACTCAGTGCTTTGCCAGTTCATTTTTTGTTGTGTTCCTAGAAATTGTTTCAGTTGCAACTTACTTGCAAAAAAGGAATGAAGTCTTCTTGCACCAAGTAGTTACATCCAGGGTTCATCAGAAGATGAACAAACTTTGCAGCATCATCATAGCAAGTCTGAAGTACTCTGAAATGTAAGTATTTCCATTTAGTATTCTACACAAAAAATTGCTCATGCTACCTCATGCAGGCAGCCTAGAGCAAGGCCTATGAAACAATATTTATTCAAAAGGTCATTACAAATGTCAAACCATGCTCCAAGTGAACTTATCAAAGCAGTAGTGTCTCTTAAATTTATGTTAAGGGAGATAGGTACACCATGTAATCGATTACATGAAAGGACCATTTAAAGTCAGAATTAGAAAAGAACTAAAAATAAAAAGCACTTTGTTCAGAACTGGCATCTACAAGTAAAGGCCACCATGGTTTTTACTTCTCACGAACTGTCAGTCATTTACCCAAACACTTTAAAATCTATAAACCCTGTAAATGAAGATTTGTTTATATTACAGTGTTATTTAGTTACATTTTCCCATGTACAAGCTTGCTGACAATAGTTGATTATGGGAAAGTGTTTTATTCCCCTTTAGAAGACAAGATCACACTCAGAGCTTAAAATATCACATTTCAATGAAAAAAAAAAAGCAGTACTTCTAAAAAAAGTAATCTACTTACTTCCGCCACATTGCAACAAATTTATGAACTGACACGTATCCTGTTCGTTCACCTCCAGCACAATAAAACAAAGGACCTTTCCAGTAGAGTGGGCATTCACAAGCCTACAATTAAAGTGTACATCAAGTCAGTTTATTGATTGCTTATCTGAAGGCTACTCTTTTATTTATAGATCCTTCAAAAATTACAAGTGTTAAGAAGAAAGCATTAGTGAAGAGATTTTTTCAAAAACAGTTTCTGAAACCAGCTTCACCTTCTGATATAATCCATTTAAAGCAACTGCTTTAGGGTGAAATCCAAAAGTGGAGAGCAAAACACAGGGCAACTTGTAGCATTCCTAACAGACTAATGCAGTGAGTCACATGTCTGTCTGTCCATGCTCCAAGCAGCTGAACAGAGCCCATCTTAAGCTCTGCTCAAGAGCTGGATATCTTTAAGCTAAGCTCAAGACAGCACACTTGTAGCCCTTCTGAACTGGAGCAAATTGACATTTGTCTGGCTCAGAGGATGGCTCAACTCATCTGCATCCTTTGCACGTGCATGGCACATCCTCTAACCAGTTTGAAGTAGCAGGCCAGCCTGCCCTGAGCAGCAGTATCTTGCTTTAGGGTACTCAACAGCTCCACATTCCCAACTCCAGTGTGACCACATGCACCTAAAGCACAAGTGTCCACAGCTCTAACAGCCAAGGGCTGGCAGCAGTCAAAACTGACTCCAGCTGGGAGCAGTCCGACATGCTGGCATCCCCAAGGATCTCCAAAAACACTGAATACTCCAAGATGTGTAAGGTCACTGGAACAAAAGTACAATTACTTCTCATGTAATAGCTTAACTAGTACTTCAAACAAATTAAAATGATTTTTTGATGAATACTGTGCTCAGACAGTACTCTTCAGGAAGGTGTCTTTCATCACTGAATTACTGGTGACTAGATCCTTTCAGTTTCCTTGCTGAGAGAAGAGTCTCTTCCCTACCTCCTCACTTCTGTGTTGAAAGGACCTGTGGAAGACAGGGATCCTATCACTCAGATTAGCAGTAAAAAAGTTTTGGTGAGGCAAACCTCCAGTGCTGCTCTTGTGAGCAGTCACAGTTTCTATTTTCTAGACCCTGGACAAAGTGACAGGAACATTGATGAGAACCTGAGACTCATTAGCAAGACCATGACTTGCAGTGAGATTTCAAGCACTAATTTAATATAACAAAATGGAAATTTAACTTCATTTTAACTAGCTTATTGTCTTTAAATTTACACAGAAGTTTAAAAAGATTTGCTGCTTTCTAAGCTATGTATTTTGTCACTCTGCCATAATTCTAAAGTAGCTCTTCAGGAATATCTTGAGAGCTATAATCTCAAGTTACCAAACCATGCTGTCTTTACCAGTGTCTTTGCAATGGAGGTTGAGCAGAATGAGAAAAAAACCCCAACCTGTGTGAACATCTGAAAACAAAACATATATTAGAAAAGCTTTTGCCTTAACTCTCTGGGTCAATACAGCATGGAGAACAACATACAATGCTGTTCTTTACTATTTGGTTGTTTATGCAGCAAAAAAGTAGCCCAAGTTTTGTTTTAATGTTTTGTTTCTTTTTATAAGGTCATTTGATAGACAGTTAATGCAGAAAATTCCATATAACTGTGTTATCAACAATATCATTATTGATATTGTTATCAACAATATCAATATCATTAAATACTAATGTGTGGGAGATTGAAACACACAAGAAAACCAAGCACACAGAGCTCATCTTTCCACAGAAGTACAATACAAAAAGAAGATGGCCAGCAAGTTCTCACCTTTGCAACCTTACCCATGTCTTCTAATGTTGCCCTCTCATTTGGAAATTCAGAAAAAGTCTTCTCAATTTTGGCAATCACAGCATCTATATTCACTTTTTCCTTAGGACATCCTCGAGGAAAATAAAAAGTTGGAATGTTTTGACTGTGTGGTGGTGGCAAAGTTTCTTCCTTCTTTGTTTGAACCTAAATAGATAAATACACATTTGACAGTCAAGTACCATGAAATCACATAGTCCTCCACAGATTACTTAAATCTCTTGGTATTCTGTGTTTCAATACACCTTCAAAATATTTCAGATTACAAATGGAATAAACTATTACAGAATAAGAGCACATTGGAAAAATTAATGAGTATTTCCAAAAATGGTCATTTAGAAAGAATTCTAGGATGTTAAATATTTGATAAAAAAAACTTCAATCTTCAACATATCAAGTTTCAAGACCGATACACTGGACAGCCTCTTGGGGACATCCGAAATTACTCAGGTTTTGTTATCTGTTTCAGAAAAAAACCTTTCAACCTCCATCTTAACAGATATTATAAAAGAATTTGCTTTTGAAATACTTTTAGTTTTACAGATTCAAGCTTTTGAAATAAATATAATAACTTTGTTACAAGCCACCAACCTATTTAATAACATTATGAAGATTTTGGGTTTTTTTACCCTAAAAAAGTATAGCTTTTATAAAGGTAGTGAACAATGCCTGCAGAGGGACATTTTTGGATAAAGTATATACAATGAGAGTTTAGAAAGCTGCTTCTCAAGAATTGTGATACACCATATCACTAAAAAAATCCCCCAGATGACCTGTAACAAGAGAAATTTATTTAAAAGCATTTAAATTCAGTAAAGAATTTACCTTGTAGTCAGTTTCCAAAAGAATGTCAAATAGGGCAGAGCAGCAAAGATAATAGGCAATGTAACAACAGAGTTAGGAAACAACTCAAACTTAGCAATTAAACCAAATTCAAGTCTTTATTTCCAATACTGCTATTCAAATGTAAAAACATTGCTACAGGGTGACTTGTCCTAATGATAAATGTGTTCAAGATCCTGCATCCAGTCTCTCATTTTCTACCAGAATTGGGGAAATGTAAGCCCAAAATGCCTCCAAAAACCCTAACCCTTGTCTTACTCTTTATCACCTTTGCCAAATGCCTGCAAAGATATCCTGCTCTTCTACCACAATTAAAACCCTTCCTTATGTGAGTGGAAGAACTAGGTGCTTATGGACAACAGATTTTCATTTGCAGAGCTCCAGTCTAGGACCCTTCACTGGAATGCTACATATGAAACCCCCCCCCAAAAAAAAAAAAAAAACAAAAAAACAACAAAACAAAAAAAACACCAAAAAACCCCAAACCCTGAACTAACCTTTCCTTCCTCTCCTCTGCATTTGAGCCACAATTCCTGTTCAAAGCTGCAGAATTACCTTAACTATGTTACAAATTTTATTTCATAGAGGAAAATGTTACCTTGAATCTGTGACACCAGGAGTCAATATCTGTCACTTTCTATGAATCCTGTACGTAACAACTTTTGATATCTTATCACTGGTTCAGCAGTCCAGTTGATGAGGCAGCTTAAAATAAGAGTGCTATGGGGTATCAAAAATTCCTTCCAACTTCAGACTTCCAAAAATTTAGGAAGTCTAAAGACAGTAATGTTTTACTCTCTAGGTAAAATCACCACCAGCACAGCAAATAATGTCTGTAATGGAGTGAACACCTCGTTTCATTGTAAAAGCCCAGCTCTACCCATCAGCACTTTCCAAGAGCCCTTGCAGTTACCCTATTTCCCCTTCTCCCCATTTCCAAGAACTGCCTGGACTGACACAAGATTAGCTCAGTTGGTCAGAGCACGGTGCTAATAATGCCAAGGTCATGGGTTTGATCCCTGTACAGGTCGTTCATATAAGAGATGGATTTGATGATCCTTGTGGGTGCCTTCCAATATTCCTCAGAATATTCTGTGATTCTGTGACAATCACTCCCGTGCGAGCTGCTCAAATGGCCATAGAGCAGCAGGTGGTCCGGCTGCCCGATGAGGAATGCCTCATCCAAGAAAAGGGAAAGTGCAAATCACAGACTACTAACATTCCCTGAATGTTGCCAGTATCATGAGGTAAATCAGCATTTTGAGGAAGCTTAGTACAGAGAAGCAAGGCATTTTAAAAATCCTCAGCTAGGGAACTTTAGAGCCTCAGATGGAAAATTTCTTTTATATGGAAAGGTAGAAACAGAGGGAAGACTACACTGGAAAAGATGCCAAGAGAAAAAGAAAAGCTATCATCAGAACCATTTGATCATTGGATACTATTTTTTTTTTTCAGAAACCACTAGTTTAGATACCTCAGTTACATAATAAATTATTTCCATTGGTTCAGGTTAAAAGCTGTTCTTAAATACATATGGAAATCTCAATTCCAGATTCATAGTAAGACCTATCTAAGCACAAGCTATATAAAATAATTATATGATAAGGGCTTTTTATTATTTTTCATCTCATAGTCTGGAACATTCACAACAGAAAAAATATTACAGGGAAGAAGCTCAGCAACCAATTCAGAACTTATAACAAACAAGTAGTTGAAGAAAAATTATTTTTTCTAAGATAAAAATGTTATATTGAAACATTTGAATTCAGCATGCTTACTGTAAAAATATATTTAATCTATAAGACAGAATATTAATTCTAAGACCAAATATAGACTACAAATCTGTCATAGCAAGACAAATTAACTCTCCCTATACTGAAAGATGTCTATTTTCACATGCTGGTTTCTCAAAGTTGGCAAAAGAAGAAACTATAAAAAGGCTTCATTTGCATTAGCAAGTGTATGATCACTTCACAATCATTTCTGCTAGAATTATTTGGTGCCTACATATAGGCATCTAGTGAGAATACCATCTAGGGCACGAAGCAAAATGCCCTTGAACATTCCTTGTGGTATCCAGCAGGCAGCTCTGAGCACAGCTCTCACTCTGCATCTGCCACGTGGATGTTCTGAGCACACTAATGCTTCTTAAATGCCACCAGCAACTTGGAATGGGACAATTGAATTGTGCTGTTAGTGTCAGTCAACACAGGGATAGGAACTGTACCAAAGAGAGAAGCACACTGTCCAAAACCATTAGCTCCAACTAAAGCGCTATAAAGTTGATATTACATCTCCTTCCTCTTGTCACCTTCCCAAGAAGGGCCAAAGATTCTTCTCTCAGTCTGAACTCCAATAAGCAAAAGGCTCCTTATACAACTGAGGCTGCTCTGCTGTATATGCTCTAATGAAGGAATGTGTGATACTAAAAGGGCTCTAAAAATTTCACTGTTTTCTGTTCAGGTGCTAGTTACTTCTGTAGAGACACAAATTGCATAACTGATGAAGGAGTCAGTTCTGTTGTTGCATTCAGGACAATCAAAATGCACTAATTGCGTGAGATTAGGCTGTTCTAAAATTAATTATAATTTTAACTGGGGAACTCCTTCATTAAAAAGGACAGCCAGAAGCCTGCTAACATCCAATCTTTGACTGGAAAATCTGCAAGAACAGTTCATTAATCTTTTTGCACAACTACTACATTTCAGTGGTCAATTTAACATTTAGAAAGTGATCAACATTATCCTGTTGTTTTAAATTAAAACCTTTAAAACTTGTACCGGTAAGCTAAACTCAAAAAAGAGACTTGTTTGGTCAGTGAAAATTTTCCCTGCAACTTGCTGTGAAAGAGTACCAACAACAGCATGCTTGGAATTAAGGAAAACAGCTATATAAGCCTGTAAATAACTCAAACAGATGTGTGTTGAAGTGCCAGGACTGAAGGGAGCATTAAACTTTGCAATAACTATATATGAAGTCCAGGATCTGTAAGTGTATTGCAAAGTTGTCACTGCAGTTTAAGTTTTAAATAACAGATGGGAAGTGAGGGTACCTTGAAAATGTCTTGTTTGCAGTAATGTAAACAATCTTCTGTAAGATTTGGCTATAGAAGAATTCAAGAAAACCTTTAATACACACAACCAGTTTTCATTCTTGACATACAGAACTGTAAAGACTGTCCACAGCTACCCAACACTTACTTGCCTTGATTTTTACAGTAGAGGAAATGGAAGTTTTTATGCCATTGAGGTCACTGTTCAAAGGGCAAAACTTCTAATATTAATTTTGCAACTTTCCAGATCCTTTTTCCAACCATTCTTTCAGAAGTTCTTTATATTGATGGCATAAAATCAGTATTATAATTACAATACAGTAATGTATTAGTATATACCTGAGAACATGGATACACCATATTCCAAAGACGGAAATTAATTCTCCAAGCTAGACAGTCTTCTTACCATCTGATGAGTGGCATTCAGCAGTTAACTTTGTATCAAAGTTCTTTATACTGATGGCATAAAATCAGTATTATAATTACAATACAGTAGTATTAGTATATACCTGAGAAGATGGATACACCATATTCCAAAGAGAGAAATTAATTCTCCAAGCTAGACGGTCTTCTTACCATCTGATGAGTGGAATTCAGCAATTAACTTTGTATCTCAGCATCAGCTCTTACAGTTAAGAGAGAAGGAAAAACCCACCCTTTTAAAATTCCCACTGTCGTTATTTTTTGCTTATAACAATCATTCAACTACAGGAGATATTGCTGAAATAACAAGGAAGGGAGGAATTGTTCCCAGATATTTTAATAATGTATGTTCAGTAATGTCTAGATCTAACATTTGCATGTAGCAACCTCCAAAGCAGAAATACTGAGCCCCATGAAGGGGTTGAATATGTGGATTCAAATACAAGTAAAACCTCACTTATAAAGGTCTTGCTGGAAAAGGAAGCTACGTAAATATGTTTGTGAATTTAATACTCTTTTAGACATCTCTGAGATTAAGACATGAACTCGGGTTGGAAGTTCCAACCCCTCCTGCTGTGGGCAGGGATGCCACCCACTAGACAGGTTGCTCAGGGCCCCATTCAACCTGGTCTTGAACACTTCCAGGGATGGGGGATCCACAACTTCTCTGGGTTGCCTATACCAGTGTCTCACCACTCTCATAGTAAAGATTCTTCCTCTTCTCTTCTAGTTTAAAACCATTCCCCCTTGTCCTCTCACTATCTGGATTGAGCTGATTGGAATTTACATTGCTTTGACAGGACTACAGAATAAGATAACTTCATTCAGA